AACAGGGAAAAGCGAATGATAAGCTTTTGATAAATATTCACACCCGCTTGTGACATTCTAAGCGTTGTAACCTTCTGAGGTTTATAGTTTGACCTTAGTCGCAAATATGGCGTAATTGTTTTGGTTTATATTCTCATAGATCGTGAGATCCGCGAAGTCTCGTTGAGGCTAAGCTCTCAAAAAATACTAGCACAAATGCTAGCACTGATGTAAATAGATCGATGCGAGAACAGTCACACTCGGCGAACATGGAAACTATTGTAAACCACGATGTAGAGAAGGTAGATAAACTGCAGCAAGAATTCAACGAGCTCAAACAAATATTGTACACAAATGTGTTGCAGAATTCTGCAAACAATAAAAATGTTGAAAAGTATAACCGTCTCAGTATCCCGGAAAACCTAACCACCACAACGGGGTTTCAAAATAAGAAAGGGCACAAAACAAATAGCAAGCGCAAAAATCCGCCAACTATATCCTACAAGAGAGTACAATCTCTTAAACATGCTCGTTAGGGCAAAAATAAGGCAGCGTTTATAAAAATGTACACACCATAACGCAGTGAGTCGTGCAGGCCTGTTATTTCTATTTATTATCACAGTTCAACACGTGTCCTTCCTGTAGTTCCGTGAGAACAATGTCGCTAGTCAGCGCTTCACAGCAGCCTTCGAGCTCCTTGAAGCAGTAGCACTCGCTGATATTTGCTAGCACATCACGGCTACAGTTACCAAAAGTACACGAACATGGAAAATAATTCGATCGAAGGTATGTGAGTACTTGGCCATAGTTTTGACAGATGATAATGAGGAGCGTGTATATGCAAAATGCAAAAAAGGTGAGAACTTTACCATTCACCAACACGCACTCTATTCTCCAAGCGTTTCGTTAAATCTTCTTCGAGTCGTCGCTTCTCCTCTTGTTCCTTGTGATATCTTTTTTGGCCATTCTTCGTCTGCTATCGGCTCGTCCGCGTACGGTTCGAATGTATCATCATCTTCACACGTATTTATATTACTTGTTTCTTGGACGCCACCTATCGCCTCGACTTCGACGCTTTCAAATTCGTCCTAACTGCTTTCTTCAGCGTTTTGCTTACTTTCCGTGTCAGATAAGTTTCTGCCATGGAATATACTTATTTGGAGCTAATTTTTTCCTTCCCACCGGTGAATCTGACGATTTTCTTTCTGCCGCGAACGGACTCAGTTACTGAAGGTCAAGTGAGTGCACAGACACGAGAGTTCCTGAATCTACGTCACAGACTATGTCACGTGGCCCTATTGTGAGCCCGTCGGCATTCTTATCAGTGGGGCGGATTGACCGCAATAAAATAGGATTTCAAAGATTTGTAAAATTCATAAAAAAAAAATTCGCGTTTCATGCAAATCGAAAAAATTTTTCGCGGAAGTTCTTCGGGTGATGTTTAAATTCAGATAAGAAAATAAAAAAAATTCTGTTATGGGTACTTTAAACAAAGACCGTATAGATAATTAATTTTGGGGCTGTACGGAAATCGTGCTGAGATTTCTTTACATAATAATGCACGAAATAATAATAGTAGAAGTAATAGTACACAATGGTACACGAAAATTACATAAAGAGCAAAATTCAATAAATCCGTGAAGTATAGGCAAGCGAAAATAGAAAGGACTAAATTTCCCTTTTGGTCGCCATTATTTTTCATGAGGCGTTTTCATGAGGCGTTGTGTTGCATTCTACAACAACTGCACACGCACAACAAATTAAAAATCGCTGACAAAAAGCTCTACGACTGCTTTGCAAAATGTGAGAGCATCCCCCCCTCCCCACCTCCAGCGGGAATTCAGAGTTGGGAGTATACGCCGTATGTTCGACACAAGTGCAAAGAATATGAAAGTAGGAAACAGTTAGCTTTCACAAATATCCGTTTTCGTACTCTTTTTTATACAAAAATTATAGTTAACAAGTTAAGATATTCAAAGAGATCAGTGTGTTGTACGATAAAAAAAAAGCTATCAGGACCTTATGCAGACAGGATAATATTGAGATAGTAACTAAAATCAACACTTACACTAAAACTGATTTTCTAAAAACAAAAAGTAAGAAGGTTGATAGAAATTTTCTTTTATTTTATCCTGCAGCCAAATCCACTCTTTGGAAATGCCATTGAGTTTCCAAATTCCATGTGGACAGCTGGTTGCTGCGTGTGGAATAATAATGGCCAGAAGTACGAGTCCATCGCAGTCATGGGAAACAACGACCCTAACAAAGCCAACACTGGAACAGTGTCGATGACGACACTGGGTGTATTAGAAAATATCTTGGTAGCTACAGGGCAACCAGCTGCTGATCTATTCCCGGGATCGAACGGAGGCTGCAGAGCCAACAGTCAGCAGATATAAGCAGATGCTTAAAGTCGGGACCAAGCTTGATAAAAAAGGTTTTTCTTTACGCTAGATTAGTTAAATAAACAGCAAGTTTAAATTTACCATATCCTAATTCCTAAAATTTATATGACGGGACGCCTTTTAGAACTGTCGTGTATTAATTGGTGGTTATTCCCTCTCTTTCAATTTAAAAAAACTTAGAAGTCATACGATAATTTTTGACATTTTGGAAAGAAACCTATAAATCACGTAGAAGAAGAGATTTGTTAAACAATTTAACTATAAAAAATTGCGATAATGTTGAAAACTTTAAAAAATTTAAAACCATCTTGGTTTAAAAGTTTAAAAAGCGACGACGTTTCGACGTTTGCACAACGTCATCAAGTCAGTGATGAGCGAAATGAAAATGAATATAAATGTAAAAGAATTCCTTTGAGACAAATAAAAGCGAAAATATGTGATCATAATGAAATATTCGCACGCAGAGTCATGTAAAAAGTTTGGCGCGAATAGAGTCTTTCTGAGTATTTAACTCAATTTATTTAACTTTAATTTAACTCGAAGGCTGATTTAGCCGACAAGCAATTCTCTGTTCTAAAGAAATGTAGATCAAAGTTCGACTGCCTGATCTTTGAGATGTTGTTCATTAAGGAATTGAACCCTGAGTTCAATACTCAGAAAGACTCTATTCGCGCCAAACTTTTTACATGACTCTGCGTGCGAATATTTCATTATGATCACATATTTTCGCTTTTATTTGTCTCTAAGGAATTCTTTTACATTTATATTCGTTTTCATTTCGCTCATCACTGACTTGATAATGACGTTGAGCAAACGTCGAAAGGTCGTCGTTTTTTAAACTTTTAAACCAAGATGGTTTTAAATTTTTTGAAGTCTTCAACATTATCGCAATGTTTTATAGTTAAACCTATAAATCTTAAATTTATCACTGATTAGTGACAAGAATGTAAAATTACTCCTAACACGGTGATATTTTAATAAATCAACTGGCTTGATCTTATACACGTCTTACTTGCTTTTGTGCTTAATTAGAGATTGTGCTTGGGACAACCGTTTTGAGACAATAAAGATTTCCCTTAGCAAATGACACATTCTGACTCCACTACACAACATCAACAGACAAAACGTAATGGCAAATAAGTTTATTTTGGGACGGCTCGGCGAGAACCAACCCTACAAAGTATTTATGTAAATACAATAATAGGTGAATACTGGTGAATACCTAATGTACAACACTTGTAAACTAGCTTTCACAAAAAGATAAAACTCGTGCGACAAATGGTCGCTCTTGACCTGAATCTCCCATTTAAGCAGGCAGGCTTAGTGCCAGGTAGGCTGCCAGTCATTCTGGGGAAACTAATTAATAAAACTCAGACAACGCATAACTGGCACACGGAACACGGTAGTAGCACAGAGGCTAAACAAAAAGAAAAAACTCCTCACAACTGGTCGATCTCGACCTGAATCCCCCAAATAAGCACACAGGCTTAGTGCCAGTTAGGCTGCCAGTTAGGCTGGGGAAACTAATTAATAAAACTCAGACAACGCATAACTGGCACGAGGAACACGGTAGGAACACAGAGGCTAAGCAAAAAGAAAAAACTGCTACAACTGGTCGATCTCGACCTGAATCCCCCAAATAAGCACACAGGCTTAGTGCCAGTTAGGCTGCCAGTTAGGCTGGAGAAACCAATTAATAAAACTCAGACAACGCATAACTGGCACGAGGAACACGGTAGGACCACAGAGGTTAAGCAAAAAGAAAAAACTGCTACAACTGGTCGATCTCGACCTGAATCCCCCAAGTAAGCACACAGGCTTAGTGCCAGTTAGGCTGGAGAAACTAATTAATAAAACTCAGACAACGCATAACTGGCACGAGGAACACGGTAGGAGCACAGAGGCTAAGCAAAAAGAAAAAACTGCTACAACTGGTCGATCTCGACCTGAATCCCCCAAATAAGCACGGAGGCTTAGTGCCAGTTAGGCCGGGGAAATTTAATAAAACTGTGATCAACGTATAACTGGGACCGGGAACACTTCAGGAGCACAGAGGCTGAGTGCCAGGAAAACTGGGAATTATCTCCACTAATGTACCCAACAAAGCACGTAGCCCAATAACCAGTAAGACTGCCATAAAAGGCTAGGGCGGGACATTGAGGGTAAACAATGAATAACGACCCTGGCTAGAGGTCTGTAACATTGCCTGCAACCTAACTGCTCCAATAATGACTTACGTCGCCTCCTAAAGAGCGGTTCCGGGACAGCTGACCTAAGCATACATGGAAACTAAATATATCAAGTAAAGGAGCAGGTGCAAAACTGAGATAACTAGTGTACAAGTACATAAAATAAGAAACGGGAAAAAGGCTGAAAACTAGTAGAGCTGAGCTACCGCTTACAAACTGAAGTAAATGCGGTCAGACGGAGGCCAGAAAAAACCTGCCCAAAAAAACCCCGAAGAAAAAAAAAAATGCGGGCAGGAAATCTGGGTAGGAACCAAGGCTCAAGCTCAAAGCCCTTCCTACGGGACTTAACAATGTAATCGAGAATATGTTGCTCCTAAAAATAAATAAAACAAAAATTTAAGAAAAACCAAGGAGAGGTTGGTTCGTAAGCCTAGATGACGAACACGTGATATACGCAGCCTTATATACCCCCGATATGGCTACCCATGGTGCACCCGGCCTAGTACCCAGGCCCTGTTGTATCTCGTGCCGTCAAAATATTTATTTCTGCCTTCTTCGCGGGCTCATTCGTCAGAAATAACATATTCTGACTCCACTACACAACATCAACAGACAAAACGTAATGGCAAATAAGTTTATTTTGGGACGGCTCGGCGAGAACCAACCCTACAAAGTACGTAGAGTGACAAAGTATTGGGCGAAATGACAAATGAAAGCTCCTAGAGCCCAAGAAACTTGGAAACTGAAAGCCTTTTTTCTAGGTCATCATCGGTAGGCGTCCTTGGCTAGAATGGACTTTCAGCGGCCGAGCCACTGAAAGACACTGTCACAAACCCCATTATAAGCAGCGAAGGTGGCCCCTCACGAACGCAAGGAATATAAACCAAAAGTGGAAGAGTCAACCCCGACAATTCTCAGGTCCTTGCGAAAAGCCTCTCTAATTGTGGTATAGCTGATAGGCTCGTTCTGGGAAACTAACTAAAAAGAGTTGTTCCCGCGAAACATGGGGCAAAAATGAGATCCCCGGAGCTAAAGGGGATGGAAAAAAGAGCAAGGTACCTCTTTAGAAGCTTGACAGGACAAGCGGGGCCAAACATTTCCGAAAAAATCACTTCGAGTCATCGTCCTTACAAAGTTGGTCGTTCTTGCTTTTGAGAACCTTAATGATCATGAAACCCTCATGAAAGAAAATATAATACCCCCTAATTATGGAGACCTCATCAAACCTAAAATCGTTTTGAAAACACACCTAGCCCCTTCAATAATCGAGTTATCCCTGGGAGAGGGGATACCCGCCATGGTATGAACCCATTTAATACCATAAACATCCGAGTCTACGACGCACGGGGAGTGCGACTCTTCAATGAGGTGTCGCAAATACAAGGCAACATGGCAGGGACTGGCAGGACAGGCCCAGGAATGAAGCTTACTGGCAGCAAAACATTTTTACTTGCGAGAAGCACGAAGGTACACCACTGTTGTACTAACTGCCTTTGAGGAGAGAACCGTCGATTGCATTGTAGACTGTCTGTCAGCCTCAGGGTTCAACCCTCTGGTGGGAAATTCTGGGGCCCGCGCTAGAAACCAGAGCGGAATATATCTGAAAAGTAATCGAAAATACAACAGAAAATGTGAGGATCACGCAATAAAAAAGAAAAAACACCGGAAAAGGGAAGCGGGGGGTCAAAAGGCTACATGCAAAAACCTAATGGGTCCAAACCTAAAGGTACGCATAACACGCGTGTAGAGGCACAGGCAACACTTTCCGTCAGGCGGCGTACAGCAGAAGCCCGCCAGGGACGAGGGAGGTGTGGGGCGCCGAAAATAAACTAGAAGCGCTATGACGCCAAAAAATAAAGGCCTGGTTCTGAAAAGGGAATTACGGACCTTCCCTGGAACAAATAATCCCTGGAACTTAAGCAATAAAACCCAGTCCACAACAAAACTATTCCAATGCACTCCATCTCTAGTAGAAACATGTCAGAAAATAGCTGACTTCCATACGTGAGGAATAAGGGCTCCCGTGAGCGCGCAGAGCCCAATGTGTCTGATATACATGACTCTAACCATGAGGCAAACAGGTGGGCCAAGCCAGTTGTTGTCCTATCCCCAATTTTGAGCGAAGGCATAAACAGCCTAACAGCCTGGCTGAAAAAATAGAGAGTTAAGCCAAGGCAACTCGCCGTTGTAACTACAGGCGAACCTGTCAATAATGTAAGGACCTAAGAGGTGAATTAGCCCTAGCAAAACAAAATCGTTGAGGCCGTAACCATCGAAGTCAACGAGCTTGCAGATACAGACCGCACTAGCGTTCAGGTCCCTAGGGATCCACTTGACCTCGAACGAAATACAATGATGGGAGCAAATTTGAAAAGCAACTAGAGCTAAATTCTTTGAGATCGCATTTCCTGCTGCCGTCGCGGAGAATGGATTCGACGTTCTGGTTGTCAGAATACCAAAAAACCTTGGAATTAGATGAAGGGCTCGCGAAGGCTAGTAAGGCAAGACAAACCGCTTTGAGGTCTCTTCAAGTCGATCTACGAACACTTTCCGACCAATTCCGATAAAAAATCAACTCAGGTTCAGACTCCACTTAAACGCCGCAGGCTGAATCGGAAGCATCAGAGAAGCCGGAGCTTACTCTCACTGGAAGCGAACTGGAACCCCTCGATAAATTTTGCCGTAGAGAGGCTAACATAATTCGACCAAAATTCAATTTCATACAAAGAATCAACGGACAGGAAAACCTAGCTATCCCAGGAAACAGCTGAGTAAACAACTGAGAAAAGAAATCGGGCCATAATGCTTCGACGGATCCCACGCTACTCGAGAGGGAAATACTATGGGCGACTACACACGGGACGCGTAGAACGTGGAATGTGGTGGACGACTAATATGAAGACAAAGCCGCCAGGTCGCGAGATAATCTAGCAATGCGTTCATCCGTGGCTCTAATACTTCCATCCAGAGTGTTATGTTGAGATGAACGCGAAGCCACTAGAAAATTCGAACGGGCTCCCACAGGGACTTTTCCTCATAGGAATTCGAACAAAGCGAGACTAAAGCAAATCGGCATGGACAGCCCG